GTCGCGTTCCCGGCGCTCCGAGCTGGTTGCATCGTCGTATTTTACTGCTCTCGTGCTGCTGCGCGGCGGCTCGGTGTTTTCGCAGCGCCCTCCCACCCCCGCCAGGTGTCATTTGCGGACGGCTGAGCGCAGTTGAGGGAAGTGACATTCGGAGCTTTGCCCAGAGTCGCTCTGACTGCGAGCACTGTTCGCTTAGCACCGAGTAACAGCAGCTGTCTTGTTCTAAAACAGCTGTCAAACAGTGTGTGTTTGGGGACGGAAGTAGGAGGGGCCTGGTGGTGTGCTTCAGAATTACTTAATGAGGAAAAAAATATATTAGGTACCACCCTCCTGAAAAAAATCACCGGTGTGAACTCTACAATTCCGTTAAAATTTGGGGGAACTACAAATTGCTCTTGCTTGGCGTCTGCTACCTCGTTTTTCACATTTTATGGTATACCACGCCCCCTTGCCTAAGAATTAATCCAGAAAATAAAATACCATACAAATTCTGTACACCTCCTAATTTGGGGTAATCTAGTTTTTTTTCGGTTTTTTTGTGGTGTTAGGCCAGCTTCGTTGGGCCCAATACTACTGAGCCACACCCCCTGACCTAATTCTTTTCCCTTTTCTTTTTTCTCTTGCCTTCCTCTTCCCTTCCCACTCCCTTCTCTTCCTTCTTCTTATTTAGTTTTTGAGAGCAGGACTTACTAAGTTGTCCAGGTTCAAGCCCTCTTTCTCCCTTGGCCTCCCAAGTAGCTGGGACTACAGGACCTGGCTGATTTCGTTTTTTAAGCCTCAGGTCAAGGGAGATAGGCCGAAGGTTGGTATCAGGGAGCCTGAGAGGACAAAAATGACTAATAAACTGAGTCTGGGGTGTAGGTCACCGATGACATTAACTGTTGACTGCATTGTATGCATTCTGGAGGCACTTAGTTGGATCCTCCTTTCTGTCTTTCAGTAAGGTTGCTGTCAGGATCATTTGAGAACATGTTATAAAGTGCTAAACTGATGCTTAATATACATGATGACCCTTTTTAGGGTTTGGTGCATGAGAAGCCCTTGGTACATATTTATTGCTAATTCATTCTCTTTAAGCCCCCCCCCTTACTGAACCCAGGGCCTTTGCATTGAGCTATATCCCCAGCCTTTAAAAACATTTTTTGTTTTGTTTTGTTTTGACACAGGGCCCTGCTAAGTCACTAAACTGTCTGGGCTGGGCTTGAACTTTTTTTTTTTTTTTTTTTTTTTTTTTT